GGTATCAGTTGGGATGAGAAGATAAATAAAATCCAGAGATTGACAAAGTAAACTATCAGATTAATTGAAGACACTCATCTCTGTTCAAACAGAAGATCTAATAAGGCTTTTATTTAAAAAAGGTTAATTTCTCTGCAGATCCTGATATGCTGAGAGAGAAACTGGGCAGGCAGCAAGACTGGAGGAAAACTCAGAGTCTTTTGAGACACAATATAATGACTTAGTGCAGCTGCCATCTTTATTCTCAGGAGTAAAATATCTCTCATCATAAGAGTGGAAACGCTTGTTTAGTATGCAGCCAAGTGGAAGCAAACCACTAAAACCTGCAGTACTGCACAGCAGCCACTAGAGGGCCTCACTCACATGTACAGTTGTTTAACATCAGAAGAAGCCAAATCTTATCTTGTTCTGATGTTCCTGTCACTTTGTGCTTGACTTTCTCAATGTTTATTGTTTTAACATCGCGTCCTTTTCTGTTTTTAAAAATAATGACAGATGGATTTTCATTTCATTCAGTTTAATTACCAACAAGCTGAAGAGTCACATGGTGCCATCACACACTAAACAGACGAATAACTGTAACTACATACAAACAATGAAATGATTCTAATTAATTTATACTGTTGCCTGAATGCGCGGTCTCTCACTGCTGATCTCAGGGGGATTGCTTCAGGGAGGATTGCTTCAGGGCTTCAGGGCTTCAGTGGCTCCTGACGTTTTGGACTTTTGCCTCAGGAAACTTCTGGCTGATTTCCTGCTCTGCTGTCACACTGTCGACTGAAATTATAAGAGACACTCCAGACAAAGTTTTGGAGTCAGTGAATATCTCTCTGATTGCAGAAAGAGAGATGGATATGTAATTGGAAGATTTAATTATCTCCATAATGTATCTTCTCAGAAACAGGTGGGCCGGGGTGTGAATCATAATCCATGACAATGACAGATTGACTTCAGGTTTTTCAGTCACCATTTTAAAAACTATTCTACTTATTTATACCCAAATAAAGAAGCTGATAATTTATGTTACAACATAAACATGCAACAGCAGAGTTTACAGAGAGACTCTGTGGTCAACAAACCAGGAGAGCAGAAACATCAGGCTGCTGGTCGCTGATGATGAAACAACAAATTCAAATCAGTTCAGAACCGCGGATGGGTTCGGATCCTTTGGACACTTTAACTCTGGAGCGGCGAGCAGCAGCTGAAGCTCCGGTTATGCTGAGGTCGAACCAGCAGCGGCGCATGCGCTGCAGCGCGTCGCCACTAGAGGGCGTTTTTTATGGTTTGTTAGGGTTCAGTCTGACCCAGCCAGCACGCATGAGTGGGCCCCACTTGTGTTTGATGTGGGCTACATGGGTAATGAGTGGGCATGGGTTTTATCTGGCGAACTGCATGGGACACATATGGTTAACCTAAAATGAGACCCATATGGGCTGGCCCATATGGGCTAAATGCATGGGCCCTATTCAGCAACTAGGTGGGCTATCTGGGAATGGGATAGTACTGGGCAACACTATATGGGGCCCATGTGGTTTCAGTATTATGGGCCCAACATGGGAAGCCCATGTGGGCAGACCACATTGAACCCACATGACATCAGCATGGGCTGACCTTATATGGGTTAGACCTGGGTGTGGATATGTGGGCCCCAGTCCTTTTTTAAGTGGGCTATCTGGGAATGGGATAGTACTGGGCAACAGTATATGGGGCCCATGTGGTTTCAGTATCATGGGCCCAACATGGGAAGCCCATGTGGGCTGACCACATTGAACCCACATGACATCAGCATGGGCTGACCATATATGGGTTAGACCTGGGTGTGGATATGGAGGCCCCAGTCCTTTTTTAAGTGGGCTATCTGGGAATGGGACAGAAACGGGCAACACTATATGGGGCCCATGTGGTTTCAGTATTATGGGCCCAACATGGGAAGCCCATGTGGGCAGACCACATTGAACCCACATGACATCAGCATGGGCTGACCATATATGGGTTAGACCTGGGTGTGGATATGTAGGCCCCAGTCCTTTTTTAAGTGGGCTAACTGGGAATGGGATAGAACTGGGCAAAACTATGTGGGGCCCATGTGGTTTCAGTATCATGGGCCCAACATGGGGAGCCCATGTGGGCTGACCACATTGAACCCACATGACATGAGCATGGGCTCATGTCATGGGCCCAACATGGGGAGACCATGTGGGCTGACCACACTGAACCCACTGTGGGTTCAGTGTGGTCAGTACATATCCACGCCCAGGTTGGACCTGGGTGTGGATATGTAGACCCCAGTCCTTTTTTAAGTGGGCTAAATGAGACAAAATTGTAGAACAATGTACAGGGGTTGGACAATGAAACTGAAACACCTCTCATTTTAGTGTGGGAGGTTTCATGCCTGAATTGGACTAGCCTGGTGGCCAATCTTCATGAATTGCACATTGCAACAGTAAGAGCAGAGTGTGAAGGTCCAATTAGCAGGGTAAGAGCACAGTTTTGCTCAAAATATTGCAATGCACATAACATTATTTGGGACTACTGGAGTTCAAAAGAGGGCAAATTGTTCACCAAGACAGCAAGTCTTTGTGATGTATCAAGAGCCACAGTATCCAGGGTAATGTCAGCATACCACCAAGAATGACGAACCACATCTAACAGGATTAACTGTGGATGCAAGACGAAGCTGTCTTAAAGAGATGTTTTGGGTGCTAACCCGGATTGTATCCCAAAAACATAAAACCACGGTGCCCAAATCACGGTAGAATTAAATGTGCACCTCAACTCTCCTGTTTCCACCAAAACTGTCCGTCGGGAGCTCCACATGGTCAATATACACAGCCGGGCTGCTATAGCCAAACTTTTGGTCACTCGTATCAATGCCAAACGTCGGTTTCAATGGTGCAAGGAGCGAAAATCTTGTGCTGTGGACAATGTGAAACATGTATTGTTCTCTGATGAGTCTACCTTTACTGTTTTCCCCACATCCGGGAGAGTTACGGTGTGGAGAAGCCCCAAAGATGCATTCCAGCCAGAGTGTTGTATGCCAGAGTGAAGCATGGGGGTGGATCATTGATGGTGTGGGCTGCCATATCATGGCATTTCCCTTGGCCCATACTTGTCCAAGACGAATTGATGCTGTATTGGCCTCAAAAGGAGGCCCTACACCACGCTAATAAGTTATTGTGGTCTAAAACCAGGTGTTTCAGTTTCATTGTCCAACCCCTGTAGTTAACCTGTCACTTTCAAAATTTTGACTGTATGTCAAAGCAAAAGCTGCAAGAGCAAGATTCTCAAAACTTGGAAAGAATTACCCGAGATGTCAGCTTTATAGTCTTTGCCAAGGCAATTGTTACTCAGCTGGCCTCTAATGGAGTTGATGTAAGGTAAATTGTAGAATTTAATTTTTTCCTTGTAGGAAACCTCGACGATAGTAAAGGTTGGTGACCTTGACCATTGTCGAGGTCTCCGGGACGAAGGTGACCTCGTCTTGGAGATCACCCAAGGATATATTTTGCTGATAGAACAGAACATCCATGTCTTCCTAATGTTTGAACCTAAAACATGTTCACTGTGTGATATCTATGCCTGGCTCATTTACAAACACTAGGCTTCCAGAGGACCAGGATATTAAAACATTAAAAATAATTCTACAATGCTTTATTTTTTTAAACCAGTTCAGTATTGCTCTAGCCACACTTTGAACCCTTAACATTTTTCATGTTATTATTTTATGCTAGAACAGTCCAGTCCAGTCTCCAAGCCAGTACGCATGAGTGGGCCCCCCTTGGGTTTGTAGTAGGCCATATGGGTAATGAGTGGTCATGGGTTTTATCTGGGCAAACCTCATGGGACACATATGGTTAACTAAAATGGGACCCCTATGGGCTGGCCCATTTGGGCTAAATGTATGGGCCCTATTCAGCAACAATGTGGGCTAACTGGAAATGGGACAGAAATGGGCAACACTATTTGGGGCCCATGTGGTTTCAGTATCATGGGCCCCACATGAGAAGCCCAATGTGGGCTGTCCACATTAAACTAACATGACATGAGCATGGGCTAACCATACATGGGTTGGACCTGGGCAGGAAAATGTAGCCCCTAGTACTTTTTTTCATGGTCTAAATGGGACAAAATTGTAGAACATTTTAATCGACAATGTGGTTACCCTGTCACTTTCAAACTTTTCACTGTATGTCAAAGCAAAAGCCAGTTCAGTATTGCTCTTGCTACACTTTGAACCCCTAACTTTTTTTTCATTTTATTATTGCAATCTGAATGTCTTAAAACATTTTTTTGAAATAATCTGTTTGAAATATATACGTAAACTCATATTCTGGTGCTTACTCAAAATTAAGCACAGAGTGGTCATGGTTGAGCTTTAGTCCTTGTTTTATTTTTAATAATAATAACTTTTTATTTATTTTTATTATTATTTTTTATCAATTGGATGTTTAGACATCCATAGAGTTTACTGCAGCCTGTTCGCAGCAAGATTTAAATTTTTATTTGGACAAATAGTTCAGATCAGACCATTGTGAAAAATATCACAAAATGTTTAGAAAATAAACAAAACTCATTAGCAAGTGAGAGACAAGAGTAAAATTTTGAGCATCTGTTTTTTCATATATTTGCAAACATTTTCCAAGTCATCAGTATAAATAAAAATAAAAAATAAAAAAACGTAACATTTCTGTAAATGATTCATTTGGTTCCAATTACCTTTTTGTTCATTGTTTGCTCTGATCGCACCGTTGCCAATAAAGGTTGGTGAATTGAAGTACCGGTAGGCACTTTACACATCCACTGAAGAAAATAGTTCCAAAACATATTTGAATAAGGAGGACAACGAAATGTATTTATTTACATTGAGAACTTTTGCTACATCGGTTTTACATTTGTTAAACCGATGTAGCACTCTCAAAAATTAATCTTGTGTTTCTTGGAAAACGTAAAATGACCCGCGGATGGATATGCGGTTTCAAAATCAAGCCTGTTCTCTTTCATCAGTCCGTTGGCGCGGAGTCTGCCTGTTGGCTGATCTACGAAAGAATCTGTAAGTACATTTCTTCTGTTTTACCTAGTACCAAATTTTAGGGGGAGATTTTAAATCGCTTGTTAAAAAAATTGTTGCTCGTAACAAATCGGACGACAGTATCCCAAAAGAGACTTAATTGTTATTGTTATTTTTGCTTTTTTTTAGGGTGATACTTTTTCTGATATTGCTAACACACACAGCTACACAGCAGATTTTAGTGCAGACCGATTTCAAACGCAGCGTTGTGGGCCAAACCAGGAGCAGCAGAATCTTCAGTCTACGCTAGATTGACTGCTAGATGGTTGCATACACCGGTAGTCACTCTGGCCTCTCCTGTTGTGAACAGTTTTCTGAGAACGTTTCTGTGTCTACTAGAAGTCACCTGGTCTCTGTGTTTGTTCGATCCTAGGGGTTTTGTCGCCTCATTCGAGAACTCACCAGTGAATACCTGCCTGCTCGCTCCGCCGATTCCACTGCCTCCACTCCACCCTTCGAGCTTCCAGCTCTCTTCCATTCCCACCTCGCATTTACCTTCGGAACCGCTGCACACCCTCTCTCAGGAACCTGGCATCTCACACCCACGCCTCGAAAGACCCGCACCGAAGTAAGCCTGTTCCTTTCCCCTCCGATCACTCATTCTAAGCCCGTCATAACTAAGTTCTCGTTTCAGGCCAACCTGGTCGAGTGGTCCTCACCCTTCCGCTGATGTCCGGGAAATAGATTTTATTTTGTCCTGTTGTAAATAAATCACTCACTCATCCCTATCCAACGTGTGGTTACTGCATGTGGGTCCGTAAATTGAAACCCATCATGTCAATCAGTGGCCAAGCCTGAAACAAATATTGAAAGATGAAGAAATTCTTTTTGATATTTTTGCAATATTTAGCTAGCAGTTATGTGAAATGTACTTATATTTAATTGTAGCTCTAATTTTTTTATATGTACAATGTTTTAGGCTTTATTAGTTACATTTATAGTGATTTTCTAAACTTCTCTTAAGAGTAATACTACTGTCTTAGTCCTGTCACGTTAACAAAGAAATTAGGATAATTGCAAAACTGTTCAGTGTTACAATATAAGGCTTCAGTAGTTAATCCATACAAAGGCTGTTTTGCCTTAATTTTTTTATTTTTTTGAAAAGTCTAAATGTTATATTGCACTAATAAAAGATATATTTTTGCAGGCTTCAAGAGGATCAGCGTGTGAAGATCACTTTATAATGATTTGAAAAAGGTAGATTAATATGTTAGTAAAATTAAGCACATAAGAGTGATATAATAACAAACTGATGAACAAAAACAAAATGTTGTCCTGTTATTGTCATTGTACTTAAGGTTGCCATGGCTACAGAAATTGGAGGAGAGTCCTTAGATGACACAATACAACCAGCTGTGCGATTCCTCATGTCCCATGAACTGGAAGTCCAGTTCAACCTTTTTGGCCAACATTGGAAACAAGCTCTTGGACCTGCGTCTCTTTGATGTTTTGTATGGTAAATATCAGTTTTTATTGTCAGAGTAAATTTTTTTTTTCACTTTTCTTTCTTAAACATATGTTAATTTATTTTGGTTGTTTTATGCTTTTGTTTGTTATTTTTAGTAATGTTTTTAGGTTAAAAATTGAGTCTTCAATTTTTGGTTTTATTTGAACAGTATTCTTTCACTGTTGTTAAGAACTTAAAAATTTGAAGGTAATATTGTTTGCATTTCAAACAATATTAAAATAACCACAAAACCACGATAGAACCTAGTAGTTGATTTATATAGATGGTATATTTTAAATTTACAGTAAGAATATAGTTTCTGTACATAATAATGATGACTCAAGAGTCCTTTTGATTATGGCATATCTCTGCAAGCATTTTTGCCCCATGAAGGGAGATGCAAATCTCATGAATGTTTACATTGTGCTAAAATGAACACTAATACAATTTCTACCTTTGCTTGTTATTTCAGGGGACTTAAAAGAAATTATCCATCTACAGAATCACACAAGCATACAGCAAAGACTCTCGAAGTGGTTTACTGGAGCCCGAGTGGAAGTGGAAATAGACTAGAGAGACTGCCAGTTCAAACTCAGGTTGGGGAGGTCTTTCAAGATGGACAGTTTCAGTAAAGTATAGAGATTTCAAATTTAAGCATGCATATGGCATGTAGGTTATTTTTAAAAATGTTTAACAAAAATGTATTGTGAAAGATCTATATAGGTGTGTATATTCACATTGTGTGTATCAATGTGAATATACGTGTATAAAGTTATATAGATAGTATTTAGATGTATACATTTATAGACCTGTAGGAAAATATGTAGGTGTCTTTATTGTGTGCATCTATAGATATATATTTATAGATCTGTTTATAAGTTTGTTATAGTAAACTAGCTTCTGTTATTTTCAAAGATGTCGTGAATAATTGCAGATTTCTTTTTGTGGCACCATTCCCTGAGTATTAATGAAGTTCTAATAATTGCTGTAGTGAGGTAAAAAATAACTCCTGACAATATTTTAAATTACTAAATAAAAGCCTTGAGCAAAATAAATTTTTCATCTCTTTTTATTTTTTATTTGAACACGTTTTAAGCTAGACTTTGGATTGTTGATCAAGATTGCATATCTATGAATGTAATTCACATCCAGGTTAGATGAGAATTGTTCCTACAGGATTAAGGCATCTGGGTCCCACTGAAAGCCCAATCAACCTGGGCAAACCCATGTGGGGCCACCATGGAAACCGTGGACAAACCCTTTTGGGACCCATATTGCCTGCCCACTTATATCCCATATGGGGCCCACCTAGGTATGCTGGCTGGGTCTGATTGTTATGATGATGATACTAAGATAATTATATTCAAATTAAGGCAAACATTTTTAGAAACCAGTGAAGTACATGGTAAAAACAGCAGCAATGATCTGTGTGGACGTCATAAAATCCCTAAAAGTCCAACTTTGACAAGAATTGTTGTTTTTAGAAATCTGAAAATCACATTTGCCATAAGTTAAAATGAACATAAAATAAAGTTCAGTTCTGCTTCTTGCTGCTTCACTAGAATCTGCAGCAATGTTGCAACAAATCAAAATGTTCAGATTGCAAATATTAGTCAGGAGGGACAATAAGATCGCAGCCTGACAGGAAGTGAACCAGGAAGCCAAACTGGACAGCATGGCTGGAGCAGATCCTGAGCAGCTGCCATTTACAATGGCTCCCCACCAAACAGCCAGTGTTACAGTCACTCAGGTCAGACAAACGATAAAGGAACAAGTAGGTCGTTAAATTTAAAAGCTTTGAGGCAGTGATGTGTAACGTGACCTGCTCAGTGAGTCTGGTTCTTTATATCAAATAAAAAGTTGTTCAAACATCATTTCAAAGTCCTGGAGCTGAAAATTCGCCTCTTATTTGCTAAAACATTTAGTATCGACTCATTTGTTAAACCAGTGCTCTAACAAGACCCTCAGTATTCTGCAGTTTAGCTCAGCATGCTGAAAAGTTACCATAAAATTACGACTTTATTGTTGTCCAACTTTATTCATAATAAAAAATGGCAGATGAAAACCTCAGAGCCTGAAAATAGACGGAACCTCTTTTTGTTGTGAATGCAAAATGTTTCATCTCTTCTCATCTGACAGGCTGGAATATAAACAATATTGGTTCAAAATTTTCCACAAATTGAAATGAATGTAGTGAAAAACTAAACTGAAGAAGCTGAGCAGAAACCAATTACTGTTGCTAAAAGTTTTACTGTCACAGTGAATCATTTGCACTCAACTGAGTAGTCTGATTAAATGTTACTGATTCACTTAATGAACCAGCCAGTACAATGTACAGATAAATTATTAAATATGCACAGATTCAAAATAGCATTTCAGTTCTGGGGAGGGAAGGACAGTGAGGGATATGAATAATTATGATCCCAAGGAGGGATGGCAGAAAATAATTGAGAAACACTGGATTATTGTGACAAAGGAAATACCAGAGCACAAATTCATTTTTCCAAGTTTTAGTTCTTTCTAGATTTAGCAGAGAAGAAGAAGAAAAGGAGGAGAAAAAGGGAGGAGCTGAATGACTTTAGAGACACTTCCTCATTTAATGCAGAGCAGCACAAAACCACCAACATCAACTCTCTTCAACATGGACTATGAGCTTTTTTTGGTCTTTACCTTGCTAACAGGTCAGCTTGCTGTTTGGTCAGGAATATGTTTATGACAAATCATAATAGAAAAAAAAAAACGATGAAAAACTAACATTTTTTCTTTGTTCAGGTGTCATCTGTCAACATGTTACTCCAACGACAGATCAGAAGTCTGGAGCAGCAGACAGCTCTGTTTCTCTATCCTGCAATTACAGTAAAGGTGCAGCAGATTATTTCTTCTGGTATCGACAACATCCAGGGAAACCGCCAGAGTTCCTGACATTTAATACGGAAGTTGAAGAAACGCAGAAAGAATCTCAGTCCAGACTCTCTGGTAGAGTACGAAAAAAGGAAACCCAGATGGATCTGCTGATCTCCTCTGCTGCAGTGACAGACTCTGCTGTGTACTACTGCGCTGTGAGGCCCACAGTGACAGGAAACACCAGAACCCTGAACAAAAACCTGCAGTACTGCACAGCAGCCACTAGAGGGCCTCACTCTGTTAACCCACTAAAACCTGCAGTACTGCACAGCAGCCACTAGAGGGCCTCACTCTCTGTTAACCCACTAAAACCTGCAGTACTGCACAGCAGCCACTAGAGGGCCTCACTCCCTGTTAAGCCACTAAAACCTGCAGTACTGCACAGCAGCCACTAGAGGGCCTCACTCCCTGTTAAACCACTAAAACCTGCAGTACTGCACAGCAGCCACTAGAGGGCCTCACTCCCACTGGTTGTTGAGTCGTTGGACTGAAGACAAAGACAACAGAGACATGAAGCAGCAAAGATCAGAGACGGAGCTGCTGAGGAAGCAGAAACTCTCTGATTGGTTGAGTTGTAGTGGCCCCGCCCACTGACCTTCAGCTCCTCCATCATTTGTTTCCTTCATTGTTGATCTGCTGTGTGGCTCTCAGGACTCCAGACATGTTGCTCTCCCTCCTGTTGCTTCTGTCTCTCAGTAGAGGTCAGTTTAAGGTCAGGGATTCTGGTTCAGTCCAGCAGGAGACAACATGTGGGTCTGCTGTCCTGCACTGGGCCAGACGTCGTTCTGACCTTCAGGCTCCTGTTTGTCCTCTAGAAACAACATGGTTCCTGATCCTGGATCAGCAGCATCGTCTTCCTCCAGTGAGCTGAGCATCAGAGAGCTGACCCCGGCAGACGCGGCTCTCTGCTACTGCGCTCTGGAAACACAGTGATACAAAGTGGAGAAGAGGCTGTACAAAAACCTGAACACAGATATCTGACTCCTCTTCAAAGAGGAGGGAAGTGGTATTCACAGCTCAGCGTCATATCAGATGGATTCTGATCATCCTGATTGATTTTATCAGCTTTTACATATAAATCTTTTTTCTTTTTCACTTATTGACAATATATTAGAAACATTCCTTTACATCAATTTCTACAAAATAATGACATGAGAATATGTAACATTAAATAAGTGATTGCATAAATATTCAGCCCATTGAAAGTGGCTGACCTGATTGAACAGGTCCAGTGTTTGTCGTCTCTTAATGAGTGAACAGACATCAGCTGAGTTGAGTAAATGTGTTTCCAGTGATTGTAGTAGAAACATGTAATAAACATTGATCTGCTGAAAATTAACGTTTTCTGAAGTCGGATGGACATAAATATTCACTCACTTTATTGGAAATACGTTTCTTTTTTTGTCTTTTCTGTAGCCATTAGTTTTCCATCAACATCAATTCTTTTTGGCCTTTTTTGTGGATCATGATTGATTTGTAAAAGCGATAAAAAAAGTGCAAACCGTCCAAGAAACCATCATGATGCTACTGTATTTGTTAGGCCAAATTGGCCCACAGTCCGTCTTCAACACAAGGGGAGCAAACAGCTCGAAAAACCCAAACAGCGGAGCGGTCAGGTGCAAAGTATTTTAATCCAAAGAGTCACAAGTAGTGGCACAATAAAAACTGTTCTCTATAAAATCCAGTGTTCTATAAAAAGTCACCCGTTGAAGGCCACAGGTCTTTCTTGTTCGTGGCGGTGATCTATGTGTAGCGCGCACTACAGCCGGCCGCACAGCGCTCCACCACCGCTCCACTCCTCGGCGTGCCACGCCCCCTTACGTTTCGGTCCAACTAGGAAAGAACAGGAAAGCGCCAGCATCCCCGCACCAGAACTCCGTCGGAAGACGTGCTTTTGCCAGCTCTCTGCAGGATCAGCTCGACCAGAAAGGAACTTTACTTACAGGCGCGGGCAGAGGTTACCCTCTGCCCTGATCCTCTGCACTGGGCCGTCTGTCCAACTCTCGATCGCTGGTGCCGGATGAGCGGCTCCGTCTGCTCCCCTCAGCGTGTCAGTTCCCGTGGTTGCAGAACCAGTTCTCTCTCTTCTTCCCAGCCAGGCTCCTTATTTGGCTCTAATCAGCCTCTGCTGACACCTGTCCGGGTGGCCAGTTTAGTGCGCCCCGCCTCCCGGGACAACCACCTTCAGTCCAGGGTGTGGATTGTCAAAAGGGGAAAAGGAAAAAAGAAAAGCAACAACCCAAAAACAATATACATGCAAAGCAAACAAAAAAAGCAATAATAATCAACCATAAAAGAAAACAATCATTTTCCCCTGTTCAACATATTAACCAGAGACACAATGTGAATATTTCCCTTAAGGACACGTTGAGGATTCTTTAGAGTTGGACTTGATATTTGTGAAATATCCTAAATCTCCAGATGCAAAATTTAAAATGTGTGGTAAAAAAGACTGAATTCCCATTATCACACTCCAAATAAACATTCTATAAACCTGAGGGGGAGTCGTCTGGATTTAAAAAAGGGAAATTTTATAGGATCTGGACCAAACGGACTGATGATGTAAAACCAAACAGATCCGACTTGTGATTATTTGTGCTGCATTTTTATATTCTCCTGATTTTCTATTGCTTGAAGTTGTGCAATCTGCATTTCTTATTTCATTTATTTTGTTTTTTTCTGTTTGTTTGTTTTGTTTTGTTCAATTTCGTTCAGTTTTGTTCAAT